AGTACCTTGGGCTTATGTACATTTTTTGGACACATATGCCTTTCCGCAGCACTAAGTCCTGATGAATCCAAATTTAAAAAGTTTAGAGTAAAAAGGGTTATTTTAAGTTTATCTTTGGGGAATATATACCCCTTCCCAATTCCTTCTTTTTGCTTTAATAAGTACATTTTAATAGTTTGATGAGCTCTTTCAATTATGCCTTGTCCCTGTGGATTGTATGGGATTCCTGTTATATGAGTAATGCCAAATGTTGAGCAAAATTGTTTAAAAGAGGTAGAAGTATAACCAGGGGCATTATCTGTTTTTAACTGTTTTGGAACACCCACAGTGGCAAAATTTTGTAAGCAATGAGCTATAACATCTTTAGTTTTTTCTCCGGCATGAAGGGAGCCCATCAAAAATCCAGAAGAAGTATCAACTGTAACATGCAAATATTTTAATTTTCCAAATTCTGGCAAGTGTGTGACGTCCATCTGCCAAATATGGTTAGGTATCAATCCTCTAGGATTGACTCCAAGATTAACTTGTGGTAAAAAGGTCACACAATTTTGACATTGTTTTATTATTTGTCTAGCTTGTTCCTTAGTTATTTTAAAACGCTTTTGTAAAGTATTAGCATTGACATGGAACTTTTTATGAAAATTTATAGCTTCTTCTAGTGTAGAGAAAATATGTATGTCATGTGTAGTTTTATCTGCTAAATCATTGCCCAAACTAAGGGCTCCAGGCAATCCTGTATGTGCCCTGATATGTCCTATAAAGAATGGATCTTTTCTGTCCCAGATTAGACTTTGTATAGTGGAAAGCAAAGAGAAAACAGTAGAAGAAGGGGAAATCCTACCAGCATCTTCAAGAGATACTATAGCATTAACTACATACTGACTATCAGAAAATAAATTAAATACAGAATCTTTAAACATCACAAAAGCTTGTAAAACTGCATTAAGCTCTACCTTTTGAGCTGATTGTTTGGGTACTAAAAATGTAAAAGTTTGATCAGGGGTAACTACTGCTGCTGTACCACTATTTGACCCATCAGTGAATATATTTGGAGCATTCATGATAGGTGTTTTTCTTGTCATTTTTGGAAAAATTACAGGATGCAATGACCAAAAAGACAATAAAGGATTAGATGGTAAGTGGTTATCAAATGAAACATTAGATTTGCACATGATTATTGCCCAAGTATTTAACTCATTAGCTAACTCATCAATTTGATTCATAGTATATGGAGTAATAATTTTATTGGGAGAAATTCCAAACACTCCCTTTGCTGCTTTTATTCCTTTGAGTATTAATTGTCCTACAGCCTCAGGATACCTAGTAAGAATAGTGTTAGGAGAATAAGATAAATGTATCCATAATAATGGACCTTCTTGCCAAAATACTCCTGTAGGAATATTTTTTGTTGGTAGTACAATAAATAATAAAGGCAAACTTATATCAATTCTATCCAAATGCATATTTTCCATATATGTTTCAATGATTTTTAATGCCTTTCTTGCTTCAGGCGTTAACATTCGGGGTGAATTTGGATCTGATGGACCTTTTAGGATATCAAATAAAGGTCCCAACTCTCCTGTTGGTATACCTAAATAAGGCCTTATCCAATTTATGTCTCCTAATAACTTTTGAAAGTCATTAAGTGATTTGAGTTGATCTACTCGTATTTGAATTTTTGGTGGACGGACCATGGTTGAGGATAATAGAACTCCTAAATAATTAATTGGAAAATTTAATTGTACTTTATCTATTGCTATCTCTAGATTATAATTTTTTAATAAGTTTGTAAGTGTGGCATAACATTCTAGCAATGTGTTTTTATCTTTGTGTGCTAATAATACATCATCCATATAGTGAAATATTTGTAGTTCAGGATTTTGATTTCTAAGTGGCTGGATTACTTTGTTAACATAAATTTGACACATAGTTGGGCTGTTAGCCATCCCTTGAGGGAGTACTTTCCATTCATATCTCTGATCAGGACCTTCATGATTCAGTGCAGGGATAGTAAATGCAAAACGTGGACTATCCTCAGGATGAATTGGAATTGAAAAAAATTGTTGCCTAGGCTAGCTTTCAACTCTGTGCTCAAGTGACCTATTTCCTCAGTCCCCTAAGGTCGCGGGTTCGTTCCCCGTACGGGCCACCAAATGCCGCAGTCTGGCTGGGCACAATCAGGAGCCACTTGTCAAAAGAAACTAACTTTATTTTTAGAACCACACACGACAAACAAAATAGTCTCTCAGGAAAAACCCTCAGAGCCTCAACTGCCACCACCGGCTTTCCCCAAGCCTCTCTCTCCCACACAAGCTTCTCTCCACCTCCCACAATCCTCCTGCTCTTGAGGCCGATTGGCTGGGTCATGTGGGCGGAGCCAAAAAAGTCCCCCAATGAGCAGCTCCGTGGTCTGAAAGGGCAGGGAAACAGCCCAATGAGCATCACCGCAGAGGAGCCAATCAGCTAGATGTTGCTGGGGCCGCTGTGAGCCAATCATCAGCCAGCAGCTGGAAGTTTGCTGGGGCCCCTTTGGCTGTGGCTCTCAACAGTAAGAGTTCATATATAAGATTAATTCATGAGTACACAGTGAAATTAATGCTAATTTTAAAATGCACCTGATCCCATGCCCCTCCATTTCTTGGTGAGAATACAGAGAACCAGAGATGGTCAGTAATTTTCCTAAAGTCACCCTGTTGGACTTTAATGAGGCCTTGAACATTTAAGTTTCTCAAAAAGTTATACTTATTATTTCCTATAACATCACAGGGAGGAAAGAATTCTTATAAATGTTACTGAAATCTTTTATTCTTTTTTTCTTTTAACTTTTATTTACTTATTTTTATTTATATATGACAGCAGAATGCATTACAATTCTTATTACACATAAAAATCGTAAACATTATATATTTTATTTACTTTTGAGATGGGTTTTCTCTGTGTTGCCTAGGCTAGCTTTCAACTCTGTGCTCAAGTGACCTATTTCCTCAGTCCCCTAAGTAGCATGTGCCCCATGCCTGCAAAAAATACATTTGAATTAGCAATTCAAAATACATGTATAGAAACATTTTATGTGCTCATTTTATGGCTTTGGGGGAGGTAAAAATAGAAATGCTAATAATCATGTTTATAGACTATCATACACCTAGCACTAAATTAAGAGTTTAGTTATATATTCAATATACATATATGATGGTTTTCGTTCATCAAGGAAAATCTATGATAGAAAATCTATATTTTAGAGATAAGAAAACTGAGATTTCCTCAATGAGAAACATTGTAGATTTCTAACCTGATAGTTTCTAAAGACTGCTTTTAATCAGTAAGCAATTGGTGACTTCACAAAAACTAGGGCTGTGATAATTTTTTAACACAGGAGTCCTAATTAACTGTGCATTAACTTTTTAAAATTTTATTAAATTTTTATGCTAGCCAATTAGTTTTGGATAGCATAAAAATAACATAAAGGTAGTATCCAGATGCCACAGGGTCTTGCAGCAGAGTAGCACTGTGGCCTAAGAAGGTAGCCATGCTTCCTATGTATTTCACATAGCCTTTCTGCTTAGAGTGTTCTGCACAAAGCCCAGGAATACAAAAATAATTTCAAGAAGTAAGAAAAGGAGCATTCCTTTTTTTAAAGAGAGAGAGAATTTTTTAATATTTATTTTTTAGTTTTTGGTGGACACAACATCTTTATTTTATTTATTTATTTATTTTATTGTTATTATTTTTTTATGTGGCGCTGAGGATCAAACCCAGCGTCCCGCACATGGGAGGCGCGCGCACTACCGCTTGAGCCACATCCCCAGCCTGGAGCATTCCTTAAATAGAGTGTAGTGATTCATAATAATGATCAGTAAAAGACTCAGGGATAAGTTTCATTAGAAGAGTAGTTGAAACTTATTATAGCATATTAGGAAACTATTTACCCTTTTAATACAGAGATTAGATAAACAAATGAAAAACAGTTTCAGGATACTCCTAAAATTAGGGAACATGTTGTGAAGGACCAACAATGACCATAGTGGTTGTAAATGCAGAAAAAATAATGTGGGAGATAAGGGAATCAAAGTGAATAGAAACAGTTGTTTAGAAGATTGTTGCTTTGTTAGTAGATTATAGGTATGGGACTTTCTGACTCAAAGGGAACACGTATATTTATTTAGCTTATAATGAAAGTGCTAATATTTGGCAAGCAAAATACCTTATGTAGCATGGTACACATAATAATTATAAAAATATAAATATAAAATTAGAGAAAAATTAGTAAGTGTGAATAAGAAGTTAAATATGTATTTTTCATTTTTTATCCACTTTGCATGAGAATTTCTACCTCTAGCTTAGTAGGTCAAACAACCTCTCATAAAAATTATATGTAATCCCATAGTTCACCAGCATTAGGGGCAGGCTTGTCCAGACACAGAAGAAAAGATGCACGCAAAGTAGGAAACAATAACAATAAAATTCATACTACAAGAAAAGCCATTGAACATATCCCATCATATTTTCATCTTAAAGGTAATATTATTCCCATTCGCATATTTCAAAACTTAAGTCAAAAAATGATTTCCCCATATATATTGGTACAGAAATTTGACCCTGTTCATCAAACTATAAATCTTAAGCTCTTAACAATAAAGACTACTCTTATAAAGTAATCCTGAAAACTCTGATGTTACAATGAGAATAATTTGGTTAAGAATTTTTAAAGTATTGATTGACAAAAATGTGGATAAATTATAGCAACATATGCATTGAACTACAAATGCATATTAGTAAAAATTTATAGCAATTTATTTTTGATAGCAATGTGGAGAATCATCAAATAATGTCAAAATTTCAGTGAGACAAATAGCAATGAAATTTGAAACCACTTGTATGACAAATGCTCTTGCAGACCTTGTTGACCAAGATTTACTTGCACAACCAGACTTTGCCAAAGCAGGAAATAGGTGTAATATATATACAAGTCTGACTTCTCTCTCTCCACCTTGTTACAACAGATGAAACAAATATTTCATCCTGTTCTGAGAATCAACGGTAAGTGGTATTTCCTTTACTTCAGGATGAATATTTTATTATGCCAATTTATTAATAACTTGTTAGTGGCAAAATGATATAATTGATGCATTTATCTATTAATTTCAAAACTATGCTAATAAATTCTATTGAGTAATTATCACAATATACTTTTTAAGCTAAGAAGCTAACAAAAATAGCTCTATCACTTCAAATGTGAATTTTAATGAATTTTTTCATTCTAAAATTTGTAAGATAGTCCAATTTCTGCCTATGACTTTCAGGAGCAATTACATTAGAACTATTTAATAGAAAAAGAAAAACTATTATATGCCTGTGCATACTTCTGCATCAGTGACTTTTACTACTATGAACACATGTGGCTATGCATTAACGTAGACATTATTAGAATATATAACAATGAGAAGTCATCTTTGCTCATAGTTTTAAATTGGTAAAAACAGTTTATTAATGATCATCAACATAAAATATAATTTATCCCATGAAATGTACTCAATTCAAAAAGAAAAAGATAAACTTTCAGAAGTTTTCCAATCAAAAGTTGAACTACTCTGGCTGTCACATTTATGCAGGTAATTTTAGTATTATGTCTATTGTGTGTATTTTAAGAAGGCAGTTTCAACATAAAACGTTATACTTGTGACATAAGAAGTGATTTTGGAGAATATGCCATAGAACTGCCAAAAGCCAACATGAGAGAAATAACACACCACTAGAGAGAACATTTTATTTAAAAGGATTCATTATTGCTTTTCTCCCTGTGGCTAAATGCTGTTCAGGAAGATCTGGGAATGTTTACACTATTGCTAGAGAGGATCAGTGTTGCTTCTTCTGCTAGTTAAACCCAAAATCTAGAATGTCTGCCTGTGTGACTAAACTTCTGAAGGCGGATCAAAAGAAGTTAAATTGATGACAAGTTTCAAGCCCGGGAGCTGCTCTATAATGATGTGTGGGGAAATGAATCAGGGACCCTGAGTTAAGCTCAGACTTGCAAGAGGCAGAGGTAAATAGAGAAAAAAAAGTGTTGGAGTTTTCAAGTTGTGTAAATCAGGTACAGCTATGAATTCCAGTGATATCAAAACAAAACATGCATCTTATGAATTGGCAAGGTAGTTATTCATATTTAGAAGTTTTTTCAAGATTCTCACATGATGAAGTTTAACATTATTGCACACTTTGTTTTTTTTTTTTTTATTGCACACTTTGGATGTTGGCACAGACTATTTGCTGCCTCATAGACACATTATGACATGAAAGAAAGTGACCAGAGTCAGGATTAAATACTACATTTAAAGGTAGAAAACACTGTATCTCATACTTGTCTATTCTGTGACTAGTATGTCAGTATATCTATACCTATAATACACCCACTCCAAGCACATTTGCTGATGTTTTTAAAAACATCTTTTCCTGTCCTACATAATTCTTTAAAACTTCTCTATTATCCTCTTTGGGGAGTGAGGACTTTCAAACCAAAAAACCTGGATTTACCAGTCAGTTCTGCTACTTGACAGTTTATAGTATTTTATTATTACATCTCTGATCCTAGGATTTCCTATCTATAAATTGGGGTATTGGGTAACATTATCTACCACGCAGGTTTTTATTAGTTTGAAATGAAGCCCATATTGAGTGACACAGTGCCTGGCACAAAGCATGCCATCACCACATCTCTGTTGCAATTATATTTGTTACTAACTTAGGACAAAGGGATATTTAAATTATTTTATCTATTTGTAAATATAATCCATATACATTTACCTTTATAGGTAATGCTTAAATAAGATTTGGTTTATTTATTTAGTTAGTTAGATGTGTTAAACATTTTCACCAATCTCATATGCTTGATAATCTTGTTCTTCCTCTAGAATTTTTAATGCTATTTTGTTTGGTCTATCACTTACATTTTCTCATCATCTCCACCAGTCAATATCATTTATCTGCTCCTATAATAACATTAATTTTTTTCAACAAAGGTTTGAAGTCCATCTTATTAAGCAATAAAGATCCCTCAAGTAATAATCCTTTTTATTTTTCAGTACTGGGCATTGAACTCAGGGATGCTCTACCACTGAGGTACCTCCCCATGGTTTTCATTTCTTCTTTTGAGACAGGTTCTCACTAAATTGCCCAAGGTGTCCTAAATCTTGGTTCCTTCTGCTTCAGCATCCCAAACTGCTAGTATAAAAGGCATGTGCAATGGTCCCCAGCTTTTCTTTTAAAAGATTACTTAGTTACTATAGACCAATCTGAATTTTTATTTCAATTAAAAAGAATTATAAAATTACCTTAAGATTGATAAATTTAGTATGTTAGCACATACCAATTAAGAGCATGAAAACAAGTTAATTTACCAAATCTTATGTTCTTTGCTAGAGTTTTAAAATTTTCTCCATAAAACAATTTTTAAAATATTTGTTTCCTGGATAATTTATAGTTTTGTTACTATTATAAGTGGCTTTTAAAAATCTTATTTTTAGGTGAGTGCTGCTAACATATAGCAATGGTGTTTTGTAAGTCATTAGTGCCTCTTGCAAAGTAGTTGTATTCTCTAGATAGATGATCATGTTCTTTGAAAACAATTTAATTTCTCTTTCACAAGACTTACACATATCACACATTTTTTTCTTTTTAATTATTTTATCAGGATGTCTCAGTATTGTGTTAAATAATATCATTAGTCATTCTTTGCTACCAATATTAAATGCAATGTGCCTAGAATTTTTCTAATAACCATTATATTTGCTACAGATATTTAAAATATTCTTGCTACCAAATTAATAATCTCCTCTATTCTCCATCTTTTTAAAGCTATATGTATAGATTGAATTTGATAACATTTTGTCATATATTTTTAGTATATTAATGTAATAAATGTAATGTAATGAATTTCACCAATGAACTTACCAATATAGATTCATCTTTGCATACCTGTTATAACTGTACTTAATCATACTATTTTAATGCATTTTTTTAAATTGGTGAATTAATATTTTGTTTGCATTGCATTTATTAAATAGTTCTATACATCATTTAGTATAATTCTATGCATTCGGGCTGAGGATATAGCTTAGTTGGTAGAATGCTTGTCTCACATGAACAAGGCCCTGGGTTCATTCCCCAGCAGCACACACACATACACACACACACACACACATACACACACACAGATCTATACATTAGACCATTAAGCATCACTGCAATGAAATACCTGAGCAGACTAACCTCAAGCAAAGAGGCTTATTTACTTACTGTTTGGGAAGTTTAAGGGCATGGTGCCAGCATTGGCTCAGCTCTGGTGAGGGACCTCTTCTCTGTGTCCCACAGTGGTAGGATAGCAATGTTCAGAGCACATGCATTAGCAAGCAGTCATGTTCCCAAACAGGAAGCCAGAGTGGGGTGGGGACACTTTTTAAAACAATCCTCCCAGAGAACTGTACAGGTAGTATAGTAGAGCTACTTCACCCCATCCGAAGGGGTGATCCCAAGTCAATTAAGGACTTCCTTCTAGGATCCACTTTTTAAAAGGTAACCACTACTTGCCCATAGTGTCCCTGATGGACTAAGCTCTCAACATAAGAATCATTGGAGGGCAGGCAACATCCAAACCACATCATCCTCATCTTTTATAAGAATTAATCCCTGGATCATTTAAATTTTCTGCCACTTTTTAACTTATTATGTCCACTTTCTCCAAATGTTCTTTCTTCCTAATGTGTATTCTGAAGAATGGCAACAAGTGGAAATATTCCGGGATTAATTCCTAAAATGGATCTAAATAAACCCAGTAAATAAAATAAGCCAATTTTCATAAATGAAATTCAAAGATCATTAAAAACACTGAACTCATGAATATGAAACATATATTAAAAATATCATGATTAAATAGAGTTATATTAGGACTAAAAGGATGATCCAAAATTAGAAAATTCACTGGTGAATTCATCAAATTAATAAAGGAATCAGATGAAAAAATGTTTTATCATTAAGTTCCTACATAGAGTATTTTAAAAAAATAGAAGACAATAAATTAGAAAGAATTGATCATTTGGCAGAAATAGTAGAGTAAAAACTTATAGGAAATATGGCTTTTAAAAAATCAAACAAACATAGGTTTTGGAAGAAAAAAAGGTAAAACTGTAATAGCAATTATATTACATATATTTTAATTTTTCTCAGTTCCTCTCACACAATGGATTTATGTTTCCCTCATGTTTTCTTGCTGACCTGATTCCAGACAAAGTGCTTGTTCCATTACTACCAATATTTGTAATGACTAAAAGTGAAGCCATGATAGTATTGAGATGTGAACAGGAGCGAAAAAATAATTTTCATTACAACTTCAGGCTTGCCCCTACCCTGAAATACACACTACCGTACACTTCACATTCAACACACACCTAATCTGAGAAAATAATTCCTTTTCTTACTTAAGTGAGTGTTTCAAAACATGGTGATACTCCTAATATCAATCAATGTAAAGAAGCAGAAAAATGTGATAGATAGTTGAATCACTTATTTTCCAGAAAGACATTTTTCCCGCATAGATTTGTAATTAGTAATACAGCATCGACACTTGAAATTGAAAACCTTTGAAATCCCTGGACTTGGCTTTTCTCACCTTATCAGGAGAAATCACTAATCTCTTTGGAAGCAGAAAAAGTTTGATAGAAAGGTATATAAAAGGAGAATGTAGCAAAACAACTGTTTTAAAGTGAGAAAATATAAAACAATCTAGAGTCTATTATGAGCAAACAGCGAAGGAAATGTAAAATTGCACTACACACATTCAGAAAGTGTCTACATGCAAGAGAGAAGAGAAGTTTTGTCCTAATTCCTTCCCAAGTCTTCTTGCATGACTGTACTAAATGAATCTGCAAACAGTTCACATTCCACTTACACTACTATATGCAGCAGCCCTAGGGAAAGGGGATAGGTGGAGCTAAATGTGACGATGAAGAAGAAGAAGAAGAAGGAGAAGGAGAAGGAGAAGGAGAAGGAGAAGGAGAAGGAGAAGGAGAAGCATTTTTATGTTTGCCCCATTAGAAACGTTGATTCCCAAACCCACATATTGTCTAGATTCTTACCCATCTCTCACCAGACATGGGTCAGCATCAGAGAAAATAAACCATTACTCTTCATTTTTGCACACATAATAAAATATATCCAGTTCACACTGTGAGGTACAACTATACATGAACATCAGGCTTTCTTAATGGTATGCTAGAAAATGGAGGGCAGGAATGTGTCTTATTTATTTGATTATGTATAGCAATGCCTTATATGCTAAAGTGCACAAAACATGGTCAATATTTGTTAAAGAATAAAATTTAATTGTCTTTGATTTTAAAAAAGGAGGAAGAAGAAAAGATGCATTTTTTTTGCTCTCAAAATCTATAGGAGGCTCACTTGAGGCTGCTGTCAGAGGGGTATGCATGTATAAAGGCTAATAGAGAGTCCTCTGGAGATATTAAAACTCTGCAGTACCCCTGAGCAGGTACAGAATAAAAAATTCTGAGCCACAAGCATTGAAGATGGCATTTTGACCTTTACAGTCTCACAATAGTTATAGAAAAAAGCCAGATGAACATTAAAAAATTAGATAAATAAGATGGTGCACATCAATATGAAAACATGATTTAATCAAAAGTGTACTGTACAGACTTTAAATGATCTTATCCAGGGAGAAGGTCAGTACTTTTTGAGTTCACTTATGATTTTTTTGCAGGGAGAAGGACTTAGAAATGCTCTTGAAGGATGTAGTTTCTGTCAGGATTAAAGATTAACTTGATCAAAGGTATGAGAGGCACATGATCAAAGGATAATGAAGATATAAGTAAGCAAAGTGTCCTCACTAGAATTATGGGGAAAAAAGATTGTTTAAAGAGTTATGTCACAGATTGGAATCAATTATTAAGGAAGGGTGGAGAAGGAAGCCAGATTAGACAGAAGTAGAAGTGGAGATTTGGCATGGTGTGGCTTCAGTATTTCTGAGGCTACAAAAGCTTTTAGAGTTGTCTCCAGTTGAATGAAGAGGTCAAAAGATTTTACCTCAACACACACAGAGTGTTCACAGGGAGGGTCAGAAGCCTGTCTTTATCTCATGTAGTCCCTGGAGGCCTGGCAACAGAGGGGTTCCTTGATGGCTGAGGGAGCAAGTATACCACACGGTAAGAAAATACTAGTGAAAATGCTAATACCTGTAGCATGTGATGATTTCTATTTTTTTTCAAAATGCTTTCATATTAATGTATGTACTCAAACTTCACAAAGTCCCTGTGAAGTGACCATATGTCACCAATATTCTAACTTTGAATTCCACAAAGCTAGTTACAGATAAGGTAAGCATCATCAACACCCACAAATTCCCCAGATTCTTAACACTGAACCCTTTCCTTTATTACTGTACCAGGTACAAACACTTATGTTCCATCAGTATGGCCTCAGGTATCTCTGAAACATTAAGAAGTCTCCTTGTGATATTAATCTTTTGTGTCAGCTTCACACAAAATAATTTTTCTCCATGGTCTTCCTTTTCTGCCTTCATGATTATCAACTTGTTCTCCTAACTCTTCTTCTGCTTTTCTTAAAACTGCAGAATAAATAAGTCAACATTTTCATACTGCTATTACTGAAATTTTAATGGTGCATAAGTCCTTAAATTTCCTCAACCTTCTATAGAGAATAGATAAAAGAGTAACACTGAGAAAAAAGGATATGTGTCCTTCGTATTTATAGATGTGCTTCAGGAGCTTCAATTTAGCACTTCCAATTGTTCTATATGACCCCATTCTGGAGAGCTTCTGCAGCTGAATTCTCTTTCATTCTACTGTTAGGAAATGGCACATGCTAATTTCTAAATTGGAAAAAAAAATATCAATTTACAAAAAGGATGGCAAGTAACCATCAAGGGCTAATAGCAGTAGTATACCTCTAACAGGAATACTTAGGAACTATTACTAGCTCTGAATGGTCAACTTAAAGAAGCTATTCCTGGAGTCCAAAGTCAGTAACTTCACAGGTCAGTGTGGCATTAGCATCATTAGGTGTGCTTGAGGGGCTTCACTTCAGTACTTCCCTTGTTCTTTCCAATCCTACTGGAAGATGAGCTTCAGCAACACAATCACACTATCATTCTACTGCTGCATGTGGCACATCCCATGTTCCCCTATTGATCAATCTAGGATAAGCAGCTCATTACTCCCTGCACTTGTGTTACAGTGTACTGAGCATCTTAATGCAGGTCTTTGTTCCTTGTGTTCTGTTCTTCCAGTGATGGCATCATATCCAGTGCTGCTGTTCCTGGCTGCCATGCTGCATTCATTCTTTCCTGCATATGGAAATGAGGTATGGCTAAGGTGGCTTATCTTTTCAGAATAATTCAGGCAACCAGGAGGAAACACCAGGTCCTGGATCCATCTGCAAAAGTGAACAGGGCTACCAGGTCTAAGACATGGCAAAGTGTTCACTGGTAGCTCAGGCTAGTTAACACACCCAAGCTACATGAGTGTATAGTGCACTGGATATACATTTCCTCTGAATCAATATGGGCATAAACTTAAAATATACAACAAAAAATTCAAAGTGGAAAAAAAAGAGAGAAATATGTTTAATACTTATGAAAATGAAATTGAATATTGGATATATTATATAGTATCTATTATTGTTAATTACGCCTATTTTCTTTCTTTTTAAAATTGACCACCAAAAAATTAAAATTGCATGTGCCTGAGCCCTGTGTCTAGCAGGACAACGCATGTCTATGTGTTTAAACTAATAAATTCCTCCTATTCCAAGAAGTGTGCTTGTTAAATCCAATTCAGTGTCACCCCCACAGAAAATGAATAATATATGTACACAATCTCAAATTAGCATGACTTCATCATATACATCACTATATTTAATTTTGACAGATAACTGTGCTAGAACAATCATACTTGTTTTTTAAGCCTTAAAAAATTACTATAGGTCTTAGGTGGACTTTTTCCTATACTCTTATAACATATATGATTAGAAACCAAATACTTTATTTATAACATGATACTTTTCTTAAATGACCCCAGGAACAGGGCCAATCATCATGATTTTTGATGGGGTGTGTCTTTCCCAGAGAATATGTTTAATTTTCTCACCAGAAAAACTCCTGGATGTTAGATTTGACCATTGCTGTTTGTTCTCACACAGCTCTTGGCTTTTTGCCCACAAGTCAAGCTAGGATTCCCTAGGACTACAACTCAGTTCAAACCTCATTTGACACACAATAATAATAGTATTGTGTTAACACAATCAAACTATTAATCTGGAGACTTTTTTCTCATTATTGAGTGTTTCATACAAGTAATTTCCTGTCTTTGCAATTTTTTTTCTATAAAGATTATATTGTATGACTTTTCCAATGACCTGTTACCTCTCTGGTCTGTTTCCTGTTCATCACGTGTAAAGTTTTAAAAAGGGGAATGACAGAGAGATCCAGAAACATCTTTTGTATAGTCTTTTTAGATCTTGAACACATACAATTCATCCTGCCTTCTTCAATATGTCACAAAATTCCTCCTGTCATTTTTGTTATGTGGTATTATAATGATTTATTTATGCCATATTGCTTATGGAATCTAAACATTTTAAATTAGATACTAATTTTCAATTTTATACTGTGCACTTTTAATATTTCTAATCAGGTACTAAAAGGTTTATTCATATTTAAATAGAAAACCAAATATGTATCTTCATCAGTAGAATTTTTATCTATAAAGCAAGATGGTGTAAGAAGTAAAAAGTCATTACTTCTTTCTCAGAAACCCACATTTTTGTGTTTTAAAATGAAACTACATTAATCAGGAGTTTGAGGTCAACAGGAAATATCTAGGGGTGTTACTTTCTGCTTTGATAAAACACAGAAATTGGCCACTTTGCATTCAGTTGTCAAACTGATGAATTTTGTTGTGGAGTCCTTAAACTATTGCTGTAGGACATTGGGCATTCTTTCCACTTTAGTCAGTAGCTGTGCTGAGATCTATTTGAACAAAGCATCACAATGGCAATGGTCCCTGTTCTTAGGAACATTAAAGCAGGAGGGAGTAATGAACATACTATTAGATAACAGCAATAAAATGCGGTTACATCTATGAGAACAGAATTTGGAGAGTCTTGAGGGTACTCAGTATGGAGGGCTGGAGGATAACTGATCCCAAGGAATAATATGAAATCTAAAGCATTCCTGCCACTTTAGACTTATATTTGAAATTCCTGCTCATTCCTATAAGATAGCATGTTGTTGTGTAAATTCGGATCAGCAAATCACTTTTATCTCTTGTGCCAACAATTCACACAACCTCATTCTACTTTCCAGACCCACACATATACAAAAATAAATAAATAAACTCAAATATCAGCATGGGAATTAATATCTTCTCAGTTACATTTCTGGTAATAAAAAGATAGTCATCTATAGTCCATTAATTGAATGACTTCATTCCCTTCAAATTGCCTTGGACATTTTTTTTTAAATATGGTAAAATCATCTTTTGAGTGATCCTACAAAATTTGCTACATAATACATAAGTTCTTTTACTACATATGGAGCACTACATATGCACTTGGTCTATGCCTAAATATTTCTCATGTAGACACCTGACACTCTGTCAGGTGAATGTTACTCCTAAAGTCTACAATAAATCATGTTTGTCCACACTTAACATTTCCTTGCTGCAGCCTAATGGAGTGTTAATGTCTTCATGGTTTCTACCATGTACTTAATAATACCACTCATATAGTCAGAGAAAAGGAAACTTTTTCTTAAAACCAAAACTGGCATTTGTGGCCTCAGTGAATTTTTTAATTTGTCATGCCATAAATTACATCCCCATTCTCTAAACTTCAATGGTCTACTTTTCCATTTAAAAGTCATAGCTTTGGCTTAGTTTCATTGGCAATGCTTAACAACTAAAGTTGGTTTGAAATAAACACTTTTAAAAATGATTCTTTTTTTTTTTTTTTTTTTTTTTTTTTTTAATTTTTTATTGTGGGTTGTTCAAAACATTACAAATTTCTTGACATATCATATTCCACACTTTGATTCTAGTGGGTTATGAACTCCCACCTTCACCCCATACACAGATTGCAGATTCACCAGTTACACATCCATTGATTTACAAATTGCCATACTAGTGTCTGTTGTGCTCCGCTGCCTTTCCCATCATCCACCCTCCCCCCTCCCCATAAAAATGATTCTTAATCTCTTAAAAAATTAAAGATTTATTAATTATTACATGGAATTTTCAAGTATGCTAAAATAATTCTAATTGTGTTTCCCTTTAGAATCAAGATTTGAATGCTCTGTCAACCACTCGAAAGGAAGTTCAAAGTGAGATTGTAAATAAGCACAATGAACTAAGAAAAGCAGTATCTCCCACTGCCAGCAACATGCTAAAGATGGTAAGAGGTGGTAATTTAAGGAAGGTAGCTGGAGGCACTCTGAGCTGTGTAAGAGCAGACATTTGGTAGGTGACATCACGTAACATTGCGCCTTAGGACTCTCATTTGTCATTTCATTTGAGTTGTGTTATGTTCAAGGCAGAATTTCTTCATTTCCTTTTATAATGATTAAGTAACTTGTCAGCTTTTTGGAGCAATTTAAGTTATGGTAAGAGAAGTGAAACCAAATCCTTAGGTATCCAATGAAAGGCCACTGTTCTGCTGACTCTCCTCTAACCCTTAATAATACAGGAGGATCAAGAAGACTTCTTTTAGGATCAGATCAATGAAACAGTCTACTTTTCTGGCCCCAGCATCAAAGGCCATATGTCTCCCTAAATTAATCAATAGGAACAAAACAAAAATAATGGAAGGAATTAGGATGAAGTATGCCAGCTCATTTCTATAGTAAAAAATATTTTCAATATTTAACATGATTAACATGACTTAGGTGTGCCATCATGTATAAACCAATACCTGTCTTAGAATGTTCAGTTACTTAGGGTAGACACAATATGTACATTTCTTTGGAGCAAAAAAAAAAATAATAATATTTTTTTTTTCAAATTCCTCTATGGAAATTGTATAATGATAAAAGACCAACATATCCATTTGACTGCAAAGATTAGGCACCTTTGAGATTGGAGCCATTAAGTGCACATCTTTCCTTTCCTTCTTTTAGAAATGGAGCAATGAAGCTGCAGCCAATGCCCAAAAGTGGGCCAACCAGTGCAGTTACAGACACAGTGCCCCAGATGCCCGAAGAACCAGTATGTACATTAATAAATATATGTTGGACAAACGGACAATTAAAATAACAAGGGACCATTTTATGATGTTTTGTTAGAAAACTTTAAAAATAATACTGTGCCTTTGTCTCTATAGTAGAGAAAACACTGAGATCACTGCCTTGTACTAATTGTTTGTATTTCATAAATACTCACACAGTATCATCTTTGAACTTATAAATGAGCTCAGGAGTCAAGCAGGTCATGGACCACCTTTATTCATTTGAATAAGAAAACCAACTGCTTGGAGTAAAATGATTAATAATTAGTGTCATACCCCAAATTATAATTTCTAAATTCTAAACCAGTATTTCTTTAATAAAAAAGTAGCCTCTTTGTGTCTTAATAATGATTTTTAAGTTTATAACATATATTAAATTTGATCAAATTATTTCTGTTTTACTTTAAAAATATTTAATATATCAGTTACACTTATTTCCTTTTAAAAATGTGATGACAAAAAGTCTGTATATTCTGGGTGCCCACCAAGCATATTTTCTAAGACTAATAACCTACAAGACATGACTTTTACATCAAGGAGCGTGAAACAATGACATAAAATATCACATAAATGAACTATGAGATACCACTTTTTTTAATTATCAAAAAGACCTAGATAAATCAAGCTCAACTGGAAAATAGATATCTCACAAGTTTTAAGATAGGATCTCATTACTATTTGTATTACTGATAATACAATTTAAAAATCATGAAGAAGCATGATTATATTCAGTACAAGATTGAAAGAATTGGCCTAAAAGATGCCAATCTTCTGTAAAAATCTTCTTTCTGTCCCTTTTAAAGAAGCTATCAAAGAGTGGTTTACATTCTCTTTAAGCAGTATAGAGACATTACATTTCAACATCCAAAATTAAACATTTGCAGAACTTAAAAATACTGAGATATTTTTTAAAAATTGAGATTTTTTGGGCTGCAAGACACTTTTTCCTAATTCTAGGAGGAGAGTTTAGCCTATGATATTCTGATTGGCTGATTAAAGGGAAAATACCCAAGTGACTTTAAAAATACTGTCTGTTGCTTCATGCTTAGGGTACTGAAAGATTGCCTGTAAGATTTCTTTCAAAGTGTACACAAAATAATGATCCTTAACAGTTATTCACATTTTTATATATGAAAATCTCTAGCGAGTGTGGGCTAGAGCAGGAAAGAAATTGCAGGAGTTGGTGTCTGCATTCAGGATGATTACCACAGTAATCTGAACCCGCATGTGGCAAACACCTTGACGAAGTGACTGTATAAATGAGTGAGTCCAGGGAGAGCAGATAGTAAAGGAAGACTTCTCCATCTGCCTCAAGCTTTGCATGTGTGGCCAGCATACATGTGTTGGGCACATCTGGCTAACATATAGCCATAGGTGCTAAGGACCTGAGGCACCCTCCTTATGTATCATCCAGGCGTCAGTGACTTTGGGCACCATGTTTGAAGCATATGGACTCTGTGTCTGTGTGAGAGCTTCTATACGCGCATTGCATACTTTATTACTTCCCTCACGAAAGATTTGTTCTTTTATAGACATAAGCTGTGGTGAGAATCTCTTTATGTCAGACTATCTTCCTTCATGGTCAGAAGCAATCCAAGTCTGGTATGATGAGCACCATGATTTCATCTATAATGTAGGGGGAAAGACACCTTCTGCAGTAGTTGGACATTATACTCAGGTAAGAAAAGAACTGGAACACCTGCTGCTCTACATACCCTAGAAGTAAAGACTCTCCAAATGTGACCGATTCGAATATTGAACTTGAGGGAAGGCCTTAAATAGATATAGAATTGTCTGGACCTTTGTTGAGTATCTGGGCTGTCATTTTTCAATAGCTCACAGGCTTTTGGTAAAAATTAAAAATTCTCTGTATTTTATAATATTACTCTAAATGGATAAAGGAGAGTAAATGGACATGAAAATGTAATAATTTTAAAATGCTTTAATTTGATTCCATAAATTAAATATATCCATAAGGCATATGTAAACAAAGTAGCATTCTTTTCTGGTTTGTAATTCTTCCTATTTTATATTTTCTTCTTCTCTAATGTACTCCTATTTTCACTTATTGATATGTAGGTGGTTTGGTACTCATCTTTCCATGTTGGATGTGGAGTTGCGCTCTGTACTAATCAAAATTTAAAATACTTCCTGGTTTGCCAGTATTGTCCCTCGTAAGTGTACATTTTAGGATGTTTTGCTGTTAATATCAAATAATACCAAATGCACATTAATGTTTTGATTATAAAAATAATAATGAACTAAAAAGTTACTCAAGAAAAGGGGAAGGAAATGAATTTTAGAGGACTTTCTAAAGTTGAGACATACATAACCAAATTCTCAGAAAGACCAAATTCCCAATTCCTAGATTTCTGAAGCTCGGTCCTAATGCTTACGATTTGGTTTCCCTCTCCAGTGCCATTCCCCAGACTTAGTGTTACATTGTGAATACACGTGTAGTTGTGAATGATGTACAGTTTTCTGGATTTGTACTAACATATCTTACTAAGTTCACACACTAGAAAGTGAAAGCTTGATGTCAGATCAGGGGTAAAGGTGAGAACAAATGAAGCATGATGTATTTCACTGATTTAGTTATTCCAGTCCTTTCTTCTCAATGTTGTTACTCCTGCTTATCTAAAACCCTTGTGTTATTTCATTCAGAAATGGTCAATTCTTGAGCTTCAAAGTCTTTTAAGAGAGTCTTAATATTTTTCAAATTGTGAGGAAGATAACACCTTAAGCTTTTGCCTCTCAGAATTTGTGACAAAAACCACTGTAGGAACAATTGATCATGATCTTAATTTATAGAAAGAAACCAACCCTTTCTTAAAGAAATATGTTTGAATGTTCCAAAAATTTAAAACGCAATCCTGTGAGTATAATGAACATATATCCACAATCTGTCAGTTTTAATTTCTTTTTTTTAAAAAAAAAGTATTTAGTTTTTAGTTGTAGTTGGACACAATATCTTTATTTATTTATTTATTTATATGTGGTGCTGAGGATTGAACCCAGGGCCTCGCCCATGCTAGGCAAGTGCTCTACCACTAAGCCACAATCCTAGTCCCTTAATTTATTTTTAATACATATATATTTTTTTACACTGGAGGTAGAATGTGTTTTCAACCAAGCTCCCAACATGATTCATTTTGAAGTTCTAGATAACTCAGGTGACGTGGTATTCCAGTTTGAAAAGACACTATTCAGTAAGGTCCTATTGGTGTTAGGTTGAGAGTACTGAAAGACCCTAGGAGAAGGCATCAAATGCCTTGGCCAAGAGGAGATATTGAGAGCCAGACACCTGAAATAAGAGTTATTGAATAATAAATGGAGGCAAGGGGGAGAATATCCTGAACACTTATGTCATTTTACAAGTGCTTACATCCACGTAGCTATACTCTCTGTGCAGAGGCTGAGAGAGCTTCATTGTCTTGGCACTTGTCCCTCTTGATAAGCTGGGACAGCTTGATAAGCTGTAATCAGTTTAAGTAATTTTCACATGTTAATGACCAAGAGGATAAAATTCATAATAAGCTACAGGATAGTTATTGTAAGACTGAGATTGTCACCCTTAATCTTTTTTTTTAAATAGATATATTTTTAGTGTGGATTAACCTTTATATTTATTTGTTTATATGTGGTACTGAGAATCAAACACAGTCCTTCACATATACTAGGCAAGCACTCTACCACTGAGCCACAACCACAGCCCATCACTTTTAATCTTTTTCTAACATTCCCATTTTTGATAAACATAAAAATTTCACATCACACACATGCTACTTATAGACATTCCCAAATCTTCCTAAACCCTATTCCCTTTTTCAAACATACACCAAAAATTATTTGAAAATCAACAACCCCACCTGGAATCCAAAAACTACATTGAAGCTTTACTTACCCTGTTTCATATTGTAGAAATTATGACATTGTTTCATTTTTAATTGCAAAATACATTAAAGTGGTATTTTTCATACTGTACCCCTTTGAACTACATAATCTTCTTTTTCTCTAGGGAATGTTTTACCCCTAGCCAGCACCTTGTTGTACTTCATCTTAACAATTCAACCATGTCTGTTGGAAAATGAAGAGAGTGTTTCCACATTGAAATGCACTCTCAACACTTTAGACTAGTTATTCTATTTCAGTGTCTCAGGTTCTGAATTTACAGTCAAGGAGATTAGTGAAATGGTGAGTTATTCCCTTACTTTGCATTGTTATCTGAACACACTTAGGTAATGACAGTTTGCATTGGTTATTTAACATAAGTAAAAACATTTAATAAATATCTATGTATATTTGGTGATGAACATTAATCTCAGAGTATAAACTAAACAGAAATTTTTTTAAATGACATTTTTTTTTTCATTTAAAATTGCAGTGGCAATTATCTTAGTAGAATAAATACCCCTTATGACAAAGGAGCACCTTGTGGCAGTTGTCCTGGACATTGTGAAGATGGACTATGCAGTAAGTTCAAAGTGATTACCTTGTTAGTGTAGTAAAAGAGCACGGCGTTTTATTTTTAAAGAATTTAGAACTCTGAATGTAATCAGTTTAAGTGATACCTTCATGCAAACCAATAACATAAGAGTATTTTTAAGTACAAATTTTTCATGCTTCTGTATCTAAGCATTATTTGAAATGAAAACCCTATTATCATATATAATCTAAAGAATTATCCACAATTTATGTGTATTTATGACTATACTTAGCTTGTTATATATTGGCATCTTTGAAAATGTTTCCATGGGAATAATTCATCCTTGCATCAAGATTAGTGTCATTAGCTAGGAGCAGGGGCCTGCAATCCAAGAGATTCAGAAGGCTGAGGCAGGAGGATCACAAGTTCAGTGCCCTAAGCAACTTCATGGGCCCTGTCTCAAAATAAAAATAAAGACTGGGGAATGTAGCTCAATTGCAACCCTGGGTTCAGTCTTCAGAACCAAAAAATAAAAAGAAAAGGGAAAAGACTAATGTCAATGTCATTATATCAAAGCTGGCATTTTTAAAAGGGAAAACAGATACATATTGAAGGGTTTTAAATGATACAATATGGCTCAGTCCAGAGAGGCAAAACAAAAATAGCAATTTTTATATGCCAATAAATTTATCACAATTCCCTAATTCATCCATAATGTTCTTAGAATTGTTACATTTAATTTAAAATAACTTACACCTCCTTTCGTTAGTAATGTGTGTACATCTTTAAAAGTTAAAATCAAATCCATATATGGTATTATTTCAAATGGTTTAGAAAAGAGAGAGTAAAATAAATATCATATATTACCTAATATTCAGTATTATTAATGGAATTACAAAGAGTAAGGATTTGGGTTTGTAAAATTATTTGTGTTAGTAAAATTATTATGAACAATGCAGGTGACCAATTCACTAAGATTTTTTACCTTTCAAACTACATTCATCTGAGTAAATTATATCAATCCTTTCTGAATGAATTTTGAAACTATTCTTCAGCATTTTGATGATGTCAAACCTCTAACTAAAGGAAATAAAATCCAAGTGTCCATGCCTCGCTAAGGAAATTTGAGCCTATCCATCAGTAATGAGTATCTACCTGAAAGATTTTACACAGAAGTGTTATGATCAGGAGTGTGTTTTATAAAGAGTTCCTGGAGGTAGTATGAAGAAATAATAGAATAAAAGCTAGCTATGAGACAGTTGATAAATATGGACTCACAAACAAATGTAAATCTTTACTGTATTAGTGCCAAAGGAATGAAAAGTAGTAAGCAGCTGAGAGAGAGAGAGAGAGAGAGAGAGAGAGAGAGAGAGAGAGAGAGAAGAATAGTTAGTAATTGTCGGTTGTGCTTATTAAATGCTGATAAAAAAATAAAGAGAGTGCTGGCTATGGTGGTGCATGCCTGTAGTCTCAGTTGCTTGGGAGACTTAAGCAGAAGGGTCACTTGAATGAATGAATTTGAGACCAATCTAGATGACATTGGTGAAACCCTTTCTCAAAAATCTAAAACAAAAAGTAAAAAGAAACAAGATCCTGTTATTTCCTAGTTCCTGTTTTGAATTATTCAGTTGTTAGAACTGACATTTCTCTGAAACTGGGTCAATAGAAGGTTATGGGCTCCTGGATATCAACAAAATGTAAAGATTATAGATAGGATGATGAATATAATTTGAGATTTGTTCAATTTTTGTCCACTGAGGGGTGTTAGAAAATAGAAATGTTCGATACTCTATATCTTTATCTTTCTACAAAATTACTCCTGTGAGAAAGACTAGTGACATTAGAGTCTAGGTTAACTGTGTCCATAAAATTTCTACAATAATGAAAATATTCAGGATTTTCACTATGCTCTAAGGTAGCCCCCTTTTAGATTTCAATGACTATTGAGCACTTGGTATAAAACTGGTGTTGCCATGGTTCTGAAATATTACTTTTAATTAAATGTAAGATTGAACAAGCATATGTCTACTGCTATCATTTTGGATAACGCAATTCTAGACAGATTCACTTATGTGAATTTTATTCTATTTTTTTTTAATTTGGAATATATTTTATTTTTTTTCACAATTTTTATTGGTGCACTATAGTTGTACATGTGGTGGATTTGTTGCACATTCACACATGCTTTCAATATAACAATATAATTTGACCAATACCACTCACTAGCATTTCCTACTGTACATTTTTAAAATAGAAAGCCCAGTTTATCTTAGAAACATTTTTAAATCCTCAAATTGAACAAAAAATAAAGCAAAGTTTGTTCTTCTCAAGATTGAGACAATCATCAAAGTGTAATGAGATCAACTTGGTAGCTCACTTCCCTTCTCCAAATTCACATTGAATTTACTGTGTGTTGCTGCTATGGAGGAAAACGATAATAAGGTTTTTAATTTTTTTTTTAATTTCAGCCAATGGTTGTGATTATGAAGATGGCTATGCTAACTGTCAAGATCTGAAAAATGCACTAACCTGTAAAAATCCAATAATCAAGAATAGTTGCAAAGCCACCTGCAATTGTGAAAACAAAATTTATTAAATAATAAGTACCCATGAGCAGTGGTAGGTAAAGAAAGTCCAAATCATCTGTTGATATTTGATGTGAACTACCAGGAAAATTATGGGCAGGTTAGCTGCAAATTTTATTCCAAGCAGTGAAGAATCCTTTTCATCTAGATCTGCTTCTAATTTTACAGAAATCTTTTCTATGCAGATGATTAAAAAGAAAATCCATGATAGCAACTTTCGATTTTGATATATGAAATTTTTTAATTTAAATTTACTCAAGTTGAGGATTCTAAAAGTTATATTTTCCTATGACTAAAGTTGCTAAAAATCTGGATTAAAATTGAGAATTATGTTCCCAGAACACAATATACTCAAAAAACAGAATGTGATTGTCATTGTCACATGAATCCTGGGCTATAGTCATTCTTTCTTGTTCCACCTGAGTAACTCTAAAGTGTCCATGTATACTGTCTTTAATTCCTTCTCATTTATTCTTCTTCACACTCATCTGGATCTCAGTCTCATAATTAAATTAAAAGTGATATTCTTAGTTAACTGGCGTTCATTCTGCCAAAATCAATGAAGACTTTTGATTCTTCTTTTGCAAAAATTTTACAGTAGAATATGTCACACTTTCCTTTATAAACCTCTCTTCCCTTAGACAAATCTTCCTTAAAAAAAATTCAAAACCATTTAAGCATTCAATCTCCCCTCAAGAAGTTAGAACTCATTCCCATCCCTTTTTGAATCTTCTCTGAATTCATTGACTTACTTTCTAAGAATAAACAATGGAAAGGAAATAATATTCACTTTACAATGGATAAATCTGACAAATGTCATCCTACTCAAGTAATTCGAATTCAAAACTCTTTTATTGATGTTTGAAATAAAGTACTCTTCCTTGAAACACTTTCAAAATACAACTTTTAGAACAGAAAATTTTTATTCAGGATAACTACTTCAACAATTTGGACTATTAACAGGAAACAAAATGAAAGTTAATCTTATCAGCATGTTAATCCTTTCTAAGAATTGGTTTGAATTTATGATTATTTGTTTTTTTAATAATGTAATATTATAAGACTTATAATGTCTTATTAATAACATTGTAATAACATTAAATTTCTTATCCCTCACCACATGTATTTGTTGTATTTATCCCATATCTCAATTAACAACCAGTAACAGAAATCTGTGGGTATAAAGTATGGAAATATCCCAAAGAAATTGCTTATTCATAATTTGGATAACAATCCTTAATTTTGGACATATTAACATAAGTTCTTTGTATTTTCTAAAGTGATAGATTACGAAAACAAAATATGAAGACAGTAAATTTTATCTGAAATTTGTATAATGGCTCTATATTAAAAGGAAAGAGGAGCTGATGAAGAGAAAAATATAAAAACACGCAAAAATGTATACTTTAAAATATATGCATTGCCTATTCTATATATAATATTACTGTGTGGATTATTTAGCTGTTTACCAACTAATGCTTCACTGTGGAAAAATTATATAGCAATGCACTATCCCTAGTTTACATTTCCTGGCCATTTTTTAGAATGCAACTTAGTATTTTGCTGCTGTTATCAATAGGGAGATCCAGCAATTCATAATTAAAAACACTATGATTAACTCACAAAAATCAATGACTATAATGACCTATGTAACTACATTATTGGTCATTTCATCACACCAAATTCTTCCTAGTGTTATAAAATGTATGTATATTTTGGGGGGGGGGGGGAAACCAGGGATTGAACTCAGTGGCACTCAGCCACTGAGCCATGTCCCCAACCCTATTTTTGTGTTTTATTTAGAGACAGGGTCTCACTGAGTTGGTTAGTGCCTCACTATTGCTGAGACTGGCTTTGAACTCACTATCCTCCTGTCTTAGCCTCCCAGATGCTGGGAGTACAGACTCATACTGCCTCGATAGTAAAATGTATATTTGACATTCATTATCACATTAGCATTTTTTCTTACTGCTGCCATTTCCCATAGACATCACCAATATTCAGTGTTAATATTTTTTTCAATTTTAGCCATTCTTATCTAATGTAATTTCATCTCAATGTAATTTTAGTTTTCATTCTCTAGATATTGTTGAGACTGAGCAGTTTTTCATGTACTGTCTTATATCTTCTTTGTATAATGTCTAAACCAATTTTTTGCTCCTTTAAGATATTAAGCCTAAAAATTGTGATGTGTATTAGGATTCTCTAGAGGTACAAAACTAAGGCAGTGTATATATAATTATGAAAGGTTATTTATTAGATTGGGTAACATAATCAGAAGCTGTATACTCCCAGCATGTCTGCAAGCTGAAGAGCTAAGGGAACTAGTAGCTACTCAGTTTAGGAAGCTGGAAGTCTCTGGATGACCTAACAGAAGTCTGAGGCTAATGGCTTGGATAGATACTGGTGTAAGACTAGGCTCAAATGCTTCCAAAATTGGCATATGACATTTATAAGAAATGGCAGAAACAAGAAAAAATGTACCCACACAAGGTAAATCAAGGTTTCACAAACTGATAAGTTTTCTTCTTCTTCCACTTTTTGTCCCTTCAGGCCCGCAGCCAATTGTCTTCTGCCACACACATTCAGGTTAGGTGTTTTCCCGTCAGTTTACTGCTCCACATTCCAATCATCTCTAGAAACATGCTCACAGACATACCTAAAAGGGTGCATTATCAATATTATGAGTCTGTCAATTCAGTCAGTAGCTAAAATTAACTGTTACACAATATTTATCATTTAAGTGCTAAATGCATATATTTACCAAATAGCACTCTGTCATCATATGCATGTTTTATTAATTCTTTATCCCTGTGTATAACTTGTTTACATGTTTCTTGATGGTATCCTTTGATTAAAAATATTTTATTTTAATGAAGTTAATTTTTCCATTTTTATTTTATGAACACTACTTGAGGTGGCCTGTCCAATAAAATTTGCTTACTTTCAAAACAAATATATTCTACATTTTCTTCTGCATGATTTGCGAATTTCTATAGATTTATGATCCATCTTATATTATTTATTATTTGTTTATTTACTTATTTATTTACTTATTTTATGGGGCTAGGGATTGAACCCAGGGTCTTGAGCATGGGAGGCAAGCATTCTACCAACTGAGCTATAACTCCAGCCCTTATGATCCATCTTAAGACAAAGTTTTTAATATAAGATTCAATTTTTTTTCCCATGTGGATATCCAGCTTTCCCAGCCTCATTTGTCAAAAATAATTTTCTTTCCTTATTGGGTCATTTCAACACCATCTTAGGAAATCAGATGAGTGTCTAAGTGGGTCTCTATTTCTGACTTCATTACATTTCTTTTTTTTTTTAAAGAGAAAGAGAGATAATTTCAATATTTATTTTTTCAGTTTTTGACAGACACAACATCTTTGTTTGTACGTGGTGCTAAGGATCGAACCCGGGCCGCACACATGCCAGGCGAGCGCACTGCCACTTGAGCCACATCCCCAGCCCAATTACATTTCATTGATCTATGTGCTGTTCCTTGTATCTTCTCTTAATTACTGTAGCTTGAAGTTCTCAAAATCAATAGTATAAGATATCCAAATTTTCTTCTTTTGAAAGATTACTATGGATATTTTAGGCCCTTTATATCTCTATATAATTTCTAGAATTAGCTTGTTAGATTTTACGTACAAATTCATATATTTAAGTTTAATCAAAAAGATAACACATCATAATCAAATAGATTTTATTCCAGGCATGCAAGGTTGGTTCTATATATGCAAATAAATAATGTAATTCACTACTTAAACAGAATTATTTCACAAATTATATGATCCTATCAATAGATGTGAAAAGGACTGTGAGAAATTCAACACTCATTCATACTTAAAACATTGAAAAAACTAGGGATCAAAGAGACTTACCTCAATATTTTAAAGGCCATTTTTTACAAAAAAAAAAAAGCCAATATACTAAATGGAGAAAATCCAAAATCATTTCCTTTAAAATCAGAAAAAAGACAAGGTTATCAACTCTTCCCACTCTAATTCAATACAGTCCAAGAAACGTTAAGACAGCAATCAGGAAAGTAAAGGAAATAAAAGGGATACAAATAGGAAAAGAAGAAGTCAAACTATCTCTGTTTGCCAATGACCTGATTCTATATTTAAAAAATCTTCCCCACACCCAACAACAACAAAAATCCACTGGAAGTCTCGTAGAGCTTATAAATGAGTTCAGCAAAGTAGTAGGTGTAAGATCAATTCCCATAATGAATTGCTTTCCTACACTCCAATAGTGATTCACCAAGGAAGAAATCAGGAAAACCATCCCATTCACAATAGTCTCAAAAACAAAAACAAACAAACCCCAAACAGATAAATAAACAAACAAAAAACCTGGGAATTAATCTAACCAAGGAGATAAAAGGGTTCTATGATGAAAATTATAGAACACTGAAGAAAGAAATTGAAGAAGACCTTAGAAAATGAAAAGACAAGCCATGTTCTTGGATATGCAGAATCAATATTATCCAAATGGCCATACTACCAAAAGCAATCTACAGAATTAATGCAATCCCAATCAAAGTACCAATGACATTATTCACAGAATTAGAAAAAAATTTAAATTAATTTGCAAGAATAAGAGACTGAGATTAACCAAAATAATACCAAGCAAGAAAAGCAAAGCAGGATGCATCACAATAGCTGATCTGAATGTATACTGCAGAGCTATAGTAACAAAAACAGCATGGCATTGGCAAAAATTTGACATGAAGACCAATGGAACAGAATAGAAGACAGAGATAAAAACACATACCTGCAGTCATCTGATAGTTGACCAAGATGCTAAAATATATTTTATTGAAAAAACAGGATTTTTAAACAAATGGTAATAGAAAAACTGGATACCTACATGCAGACAAATGAAATGAGATTCATATTTCTCACCCCGCACAAAACTCAAATCAAATGCATCAAAGACTTACAAATTACACCAGAAATTTTCGAGCAATTTGAAGAAAACACGGGGCCAACACTCCATTGTTTAGGTTCGGGCACTGACTTTCTTAACAATACTCCCAAAGCACAAGAAATAAAAGCAAGCATCAGTATGTGGGATGTCATCAAACTACAAAGTTTCTGTACAGCAAAAGAAATGAGACCATAAAGAGAGAACCTACAGAATGGGAGAAAATCTTGGCTAGCTATCCCTCCAATAGAGGATTAATGTCCAGAATATAAAAAGAACTCAAAAAACATTTTATATATATATATATATATATATATATATATATATATATATTTTTCCCCAATCAATAAATGGACAAAAGAACTAAACAGAGATTTCTTCAAAGAAAAAACACAAATTGCCAAAAGTATATGAAAAATGTTCAAATTCTCTAGCAATGGGAGATATGCAAATCAAAACTACACTAAGATTTCATCTCACTCTAGTCAGAATGGCAGTGGTTAAGAATATAAACAACAATAAATGCTGGCAAAGTTGTGGGGGAAAAGGAACGCTTCTACATTGTTGGTGGGAATGAAGACTAGTAGAACTACTCTGTAAACAGTATGGAGATTCCTCAAAACTAGGAATAAACCACTACATGACTTAGCTATTGCTCTCCTTCACATTTTCCCAAAAGATCGAAAATCAGCATACTGCAGCAATACAGCACCTGAATGTTTGTAGCAGTACAATTCAAAATAGCTAAATTCATAATGTACTTGATTCCATGAGTAAACCTGGTGCCTGCCAAATGTTGAATGGATTAAAAATTGTGACACACACACACATACACACACACACAGGAGTATTACTCAGTGGTAAAAAAAAAAAAGAATGAAATTTTGGCATTTATCAGCAAATGAATAAAAAAAATGGAGAGTATCATGCTAAGTGAAATAAGCCAAACTCAAAAACTGAAAAGCTTGAATGTTTTCTCTCTTATGTGAAAGCTAGAGTAAAATAAAGGAAAGGAGGAGGGAAGAATAGGATAACATGAAGAATCAATCAAATACAAATTAATAGGAGTGAAAGAAAGTCTAGTAGAACAAAGGAAAAGAAGGGGAAAGGGGAGGAAAGATGAGAGGGAAATGGGGGAGGAGAAAAAGGGAGGATAATGAATTGAAATCAATTCCCATGCTTGTATGAGTTTGTGGTGATGAACCCAACTACAATGAGTAACAATAAAGCTCTAATTTAAAAAAAATAAAGTTGTCTCATATATTTTCATTTCTAATAAACATTTTCAATCCTAAGGAAATTATGCCTCTTTTCAGCACAATTTCTATCTTATACATGTAATGATGTAGAGAAGATAGAATAGGTAAGGAGTCTCATAATTTCATGCCTGGAAAAAAATGTTAGTATTGCTTTCAGTATTTTCACTGATATTCTCTTTGCTATGTTGCTATGGGAATCTCCTGCAGAAGCCACCAAGAATTCTTTTATGGTAGTCTGAGAAAGATACAGCAAAATAATGAAAACACAAAATCATCACACCACTAGAACATGTACACTGAAGTCTAACACCAAGCTAAGTCCTTAACAAAAATATTTAGCGAATCCAAGGAAAAAAGTTAGACTCTGGTGCCTTGAATAAATAAGATTTAATTGACCCATTATTTCATATTCTCCCTTTGTTTGGCACTTCAGAGAGTTTTACGTATCAGTATGATTAAGATTTTACAAGAGGCAGGGTAATGCTGGATTGGGGAAGGGGGGGTGGCATTATTATTTGATTTATTTTCTCGTTAAGAACAAGTGTAAGTGTCAAAGGGAATTTGGAGAAAAGAACTCACAAACCTCTGGACCATTCTTATTTGTGTACTTCACTTACCCAACTCACACCATGCCTTTACTTCATCTTCCCTAGCATTTTCTATCTGTACCTGCCAACACATTCCAAACGCAGATTGGCAGGACTCTGGACCAATGGGCAGGCCGCATTGCCTTCCCCGGGCCCACAGCTGCCATGTGGGAGACTCCGGACCCAGGAAGGGGCGAGCCGAGGGGAGGCGTTAGGCAGCCCCACCAACAAGCCTCCCAGCCACCCACCTAAGACCATTCTTCAGCACCCACAGCCAGGTGTCCACTAGCCCTTCCTACTGCCAAGATGTCCCTTTCTAAGAAGCTGACTTTGGACAAACTGGATGTCAAAGGCAAGCGCGTCATCATGAGAGTGGACTTCAACGTTCCCATGAAGAAGAACCAGATTACCAACAACCAGAGAATCAAGGCCGCCGTCCCCAGCATCAAGTTCTGCCTGGACAATGGAGCCCAGTCGGTGGTGCTGATGAGCCACCTGGGCCGGCCCGATGGCGTCCCCATGCCCGAGAAGTACTCCCTGGAGCCTGTCGCTGGCGAGCTGAAATCCTTGCTGGGCAGGGACGTGACTTTCCTCAAGGACTGTGTGGGCCCAGAAGTGGAGAAGGCCTGCGCCAGCCCCGAAGCCGGCTCAGTGATCCTGCTGGAGAACCTGCGCTTTCACCTGGAGGAGGAAGGCAAGGGCCAGGATGCCTCTGGGAACAAGGTGAAGGCAGAGCCCGAGAAGGTGGAAGCCTTTCGCCAGTCACTGTCCAAGCTAGGGGACATCTATGTCAATGATGCTTTTGGCACTGCACACAGGCCTCACAGCTCCATGGTGGGAGTGAATCTGCCCCAGAAAGCAGCCGGGTTCCTTATGAAGAAGGAGCTGGAGTACTTTGCCAAAGCCTTGGAAAACCCAGAGAGACCCTTTCTGGCTATCCTGGGTGGAGCCAAAGTGGCAGACAAGATCCAGCTCATCAAAAATATGCTGGACAAGGTCAACCAGATGATCATCGGGGGCGGGATGGCCTTTACCTTCCTGAAGGTACTGCACAACATGGAGATTGGTGCCTCCCTCTTCGACGAAGAGGGAGCCAAGATTGTCAAGGAGATCATGGCCAAAGCAGAAAAGAATGGTGTGAAGATTACCTTTCCCGTGGACTTTATCACGACTGACAAGTTCGATGAGCATGCCAATACTGGAAATGCCACCGTAGAATCTGGCATCCCCGATGGCTGGTTGGGTTTGGACTGTGGCCCTGAGAGCATTAAAAAGAATGCTCAAGTTGTGTCTGAAGCCAAGCTCATCATTTGGAATGGTCCTTTGGGAGTCTTTGAATGGGAAGCCTTTGCCAAGGGAACCAAGGCCCTCATGGATGAAATGGTGAAAGCCACCTCCCAGGGTAGTGTCACCATTATAGGGGGCAGGGACACTGCTACTTGCTGTGCCAGATGGAACACTGAAGACAAAGTCAGCCATGTAAGCACTGGAGGGGGTGCCAGTCTGGAGCTCCTGGAAGGTAAAAGCCTCCCAGGAGTAGAGGCCCTCAGCAACTTGTAACTGACAGAGTCTCCTTCTCCTGTTTTCTGTCCTCAGCCTTTAGGTTAACTCAGTGCTCTAACATCTCAGCTTGACTTTGGTTAAAACTACCAGATATCAAGACCCAGGAAATGGGCAGGTAGTATGTTATCCACTTCTTCTTACATCAGTGAAAGCACTTGTTCTCTTTAGCTGTGTCATGCCTTTGCCTACCCTCTTCAAGATCTCCTTTGGACCTTTGAACTTCACTGCTGTGCCTCATAGGGAGGATATATTCTTAAGTTGCCCATTAAAGTGAGTCAGTAAAGCTGAATCTCTCATTTGTCATGTTTTTTTTTTTTTTAGATAAATTATTGGAAAAGAATAGTTTGAAAACTCGTTAAAGATTGAGTGTCCAAATAAACTGAGAAAAATAATTAAATGTAAGAACTCATTACTATCATCAGAGTGCTTTCATAGAAAATGTCTTAATAAGAAAAATATAAATGAAAAAATATATTAAATCAAGAAGTTGAAAGTAAAGGAAATAAATTATATACAAAGAAGTTATTTTTGTGTGCTTGTGGATGTACACATATCTATGTTATATAGGGAGCTAGGAATCAAACTTGGTTTGTTAATAAAGATTTGATTGTTTTAATTGTAATGCAATAAATTCTAAAATTTTAAAAATAATTTTCGTACTTTTATGCATGAAAGATAGAGGTATAAAATCCTTACTATAAAATAGAAAAAAAATATTAGAAACAAAAATACTTATTAGACAATATTTTCCTTAGTTTTGTAAACAAAGGGCTGCTAGAGGGTGATGCTATTAACAAAGATCAAAGTACAGAGAAACTCTTCCCCATTATAATGTGCTATGTCCCTATAATCGAAGATAAATTTATTGTAGTCAATAGCATGAATAATTGAGCTTCAAATATAAATTTTAATACACCTGAAATGTCAAATTTTAATGAGACTATTGATAATATTATGTTAATCCCAAGGAAGAGGTAGAGTTTAAGGTATAAGCTTTAAAAGTAAAAAGACAACGTTTGAAAGCTTTAAACAAGTTAAAAGCACATTGCTTTTTCACATAAAAGTTAATAGTCAAGTGTTGGCCCTTCTCCATGGGATCATATATGTTATGGTTTGGATATGAGATATCCACCCAAAGATCCTGTATGAATGCAGGGATTCAGAGGTGATGTGATTAGATAATGGTAGCAGTAACCTTATAGGTTCATCCTCATTTGAAAGGTTCAGTTTGCTGGGTGGTACTTCTGGGCCAGGGGAGCTACTCAAAGAAATTGGGTCATGGAGATGTACCCTGAGGAATTACAACATGTCCCCCAGATCCTCCTTCTCTTTTTGCTTCCTGTCTGCCATGTTGTGAGCAGTTTTCCACCACGTTGCTCTTCCACTATGATTTGCTTCACCTCAGTTCCAGAAGAATGGAGTTGTGTAGCCATAGGTTTAATTTCTGAAACTATGAGCTCAAAAATAAACTTTTGCTCCTCTAGATTGTTCTGACATGGTGTTTTGGTCACAATAAGGAAAAGCTGTCATGTAGCCCCTGTAACAAATCTTCTACTTTGAATAATTAGGTTTAGTCCTTATCTGTAGAATCTGTCTGGGATTTTGTTACAGGACTAAAAGTCTGAAGGGGAAAACAAATGTGAATCAATCAGTTTTTTTTATTACTGCATATTAATTATACAGAATAAAAATTTCATCAGTACATTCATAAAAGTATATAACATTTTCATCATTTCCACATCCCATTATACCCCCTAACCCATACAGTATGAGTTTGGCTTTGGGTTTGTCCTAAAATACCTTTATTATGTTGATATAGATTCTTTTATCTAGACCTTTAGGACTTTTACCATGAAGGCTTTTTCTTGAAGGCTTTTTTATGTCATTTTTATCCTTTATTCTATTTGTATTTTTTTTTCATATGTTGAACCATCCTGGTATTCCTAGAATGATACCAACTTGAAAACAGGGTGTGGTCTTTTTTCATGTGTTGCTGAATTTAGTGTGCTGGTAATTTACTAAGGATTTTAGTGACTACGTTCATTAATGACATTGGTCTACAGTTTTCTTTGAGGGGTACATTATCCAGTTTTAATATCATGTTGATACTGGTTTAATAGAATTTTGAAGCATTCCCTTCCTTTTTGTTTTATGGAAAAGTTTGAGGACCTTAGGTGTGAGCTCTTCTTTAAAGGTGTGGTAAAGTCCTGCACAAATCCATCTGCTCCTGGGCTTTTCTTGTGTCCTAGACTGTGGGTCGTTATGTTATCAGCATCAAAGGATCCACTGCATGTATTCAGAGTGCTGAATTCAATCCCCAGCACCACTTTAAGAAGAGAGAATAATCACCAGTAAAAAGTTAGATGCAAACCAGATCTCAACATACAATAAAAAAAAATTGTTAAACACAATCTCTGCAACTCTAATCAAAGTAAAGAAAGGGAAGGAATGACATGGAATACTCTAAAAAGGGACGTTAATGAAAGTAAATTTAATGCTAACATTTAAGAGAAAAAGAAATGAGAAGAGAAAGAAAAAGGAGAAAGGAAGGAAATAAATTAGAAATAAGAAAAAAAAAACAGAAAAGTACATAAGAGAATTTTTGAAAAAAACAACACCATCCACCATCTGAATCTCTGGGAAGTGTTAGAAACCTATCCTCCCATGTCACTCACTACACAGTTTTCTATCTGCTCAGACTGCATATTCACCCAATAGCACTCTCTGCCTTCCTAGAGGAAGGAACTCTCTTCCAGCCCACAAGGAGTACCCCTAACCCAATTCAGGCATCATGTCCTCAGTGCTGATTATTATTATTTTTACTTATTATTTTTCTTTTTATTCTAAAATCCAATATTTCTGAGTACCACCCAGTCACTGACTCTTGAGTTGCATTCCAATGCTTTCCTATGGCCCCCCCACCCCATCATGCAGCCTCACATCTTTTCATTAGGTTCAATATCCTGGAGCAGTTGGTAATTGATGAGTACCAAAAATCTGCCATGTTTTGGCATTGTTTTATTTTGAATACATCATTCCAATATTCCAAAAATTATTTTCACTTACTATATTGGCAATGAGTCATGACATAAGGCCTATTTTTCAAGGGAGGCTTAATAATATATTCTCTATAGCTAGATAATTTGTACCCAAGTAAAAGTAAGTAGAATATCTTAATAACAGAAAGTAGAAGAAGAATAAACGCTGAAAAAAAATTAACAGTTTCTGATAGACTATCCTCTGGCCATTCGAGTATTCATGTACATTTCTCATCTCACATAAGAAAACATAACTATTCCAAGAAGGACAGTACAATCTCTTGTACAGTGACTGCATCCTTTGAAATTTGGATCTCTCTGGATGATGCACAATCCATTCAGTGCAGCACAGAGAATTCAATAGTCTGGCAAAGTGAAAAGCAGAGTCATCATTTTCATGCTCCTACTCTCCATACTCCATACAAACCAAATGAATATACAGTGGTAAAAAAGAAATAGATAACTTCAATAAAAATACTCAATTAAACCCTCTCCTCGGTCTATACCCAAAGAACTTAAAAACAGCATACTACAGGGACACAGCCACATCAATGTTTATAGCAGCACAATTCACAATAGCTAAACTATGGAACCAAACTAGACGTCCTTCAGTAGATGAATGGATACAATATGTGGCATATATACACAATGGAATATTACTCAGCAATAAGAGAATAAATCCTGGCATTTGCATGTAAATGGATGGCATGGCGTTAGAGAAGATAATGCTAAGTGAAGTTAGTCAATCCCCCCCCCAAAAAAAATGCTTAATGTTTTTGTCTGATTCATAGTTTGGTAGGGAAGGAGAACATGGAAGGAATAGATGAACTCTAGATAGGGCAGAGGGGTGGGAAGGGAAGGGAAGGGGCATGAGGTTAGAAATGATGGTGGAAAGCGATAGACATCATTATCCAAAGTACTTTATGAAGACACAAATTGGTGTCAATATACTTTGTATACAACCAGAGATATGAAAAAATATATATATTATATATATATATATTTAATATATAAATTAATATAAATATTCATATATAATATATATAAAAATATAAAAATCAATAAAAAAATAAAATAAATGAAAAAACATTAACATTTCTATTCAAAAAAATTAAAAACACACTTCTCTTTTCATTTTTATTTCGATTTAAGAATGTTGAGAGCTCAATTGTTCTAACAATGAAAATAACAACTATGGATAACTTTACTAGTTAAAATAATTTAGAATATAATTCTTCTTTTTTATTTTATTTTTTAAATACATGACAGTGGAATGCATTACAATTCTTATTACACATATAGAGCACAATTTTTCATATCTCAGTATATAAAGTATATTCACACCAATTCATGTCTTCATACATATACTTTGGACAATGATTTCTATCACATTCCACCATCATATAATTCTTCTTAACAAATATAATTAAATGATATTAAAAAATACTCAAATAAAATGCCATTGGTTCTTTACAACTTTAACAAATCATGGTGGACCAGAATTTCAAGAATCACTTGACCTGAGAATGGAAGAATTTCCATGGCTAGACTGATTGGAATCTCCTGAAATTTCTTATTCATTTTTCTTTCCTGGATCCTACTATGAGCAGGTGAGAAGTTTTTATTGCATTCTAACTTTCAAAACAATTTCTGAAGCAGGTATTGGAGACCTGAGCTATATCTGTCTCTGCATAGATTTCCTAGACTCCTCCTTGCTAACTTTCAGGAAACCAAGGACATCTTTACTTATCACAATTATAAGCTTTTGAAGCCCACGCTAGAGGCTTCTTAACTTTCTCAATAATCCAACTTTCTGAGAGCTGGACATGCATGGTGGTGCACATCTATAATCATAACAACTCGGCTGAGGCAGGAGGGTCGAAATTTCAGAGCCAATCTCAGCAGCTTAGCAAGGACCTAAGCAACTTACATACCTTGTCTTAAAATAAAAAGGGCTGGGAATGTGGTTCATGTTTAAGCACCCCTGGCTTTAATCCCTGGAATCAAGAAAAAAAAAAGAAAAATCCAGGGTTCTGGTATCTCTAATCCCCTACAAAACACTCAAAAAATCTCTTTTAATTATACTTCTGAACCCTCCCAACTCTTGCTTCTACTTAATTGATTTTTTTTGTTTGTTTGTTTGCTGGGACCACCTTGTATTTCACAGACAGCAAGCTGTGGCTATCTAATAAGTGAGCAAGAGAGCCTGTGATCTCGCCTGCCACTTCCTCATGACTTTGGTTGAAAAGTGCAAGTGGCAGGTCTCTTAGAAATGGCACAAGTGATGTTATTTCTCCTATTTATTATTGTATTAGGGGAAACTAGCTTTCTCAATTATGAAAGAACTAATTTCCCTAGTTTGTTAGGCGATTTTGGTTGCCTTTCTTAGAAAGCTCTATTGCATATATTTTTTGTTTCAACTGCTTCATTTTTCCTAGCTCTGTTCATTTTGGGTTGTAGTAATTTATGAAAAACCAGCAAGTAAGAACCAAAATACACGAATATTTGACCACTTTATAAACACTTCCCTTGAAACTTTATTCTCTTTGGGAATGTTGTGCTTACTTAGACATCACAGGCAAAGGATTTATTAAGTGTTCCAGCAGAAAAAGGAGCAATCGTTACCATCCAGTCTTCCATGTCTCCTTACTTACCTTCTCTCACCTGATTCTTAAGAAAATGTAACTTTTGTGAGCTTTATTAAGACAGCAACCACAAAATGATCAATTTCTACATTACACAATCTAAAAACTAGTTGTTCTAAAGTAAGGAAAATTTTCCCAAAGAGAACTCTTGTCAAACTCTGGAGACATGTTTGCTTGTCATGTCTGGAGGGATGTTATTGTGGTAACTAAGGAAGCTATCAAAAACCCTAAAAACCACAAGACAGCCTTCCACAACAAAGAAGTAGTCAGCCTTACATGTCAATAGTGATTGTTAGAGTCTGTAAACAAGTCAAGATGGCACCTGGCATTTTGCAGAGGGAGTGGTTTGTGAAGTAACGCCAGCGAGCCATTAAGTGTGGAGATTCCTTATTGGTTGACTGCTGTATCTAGTTTATGTTAATTAAGATAAGCTGTGTGGAATGTATATATACCCCTCCTGTCCTACAATAAATGGCTCCCATTCCTGCTGTATCAATGTACACAAGTTTCTCGTCACCCCCCAGTTATTTTGCCCAGCCAGCCGGACTGCGGCAGTGATAATGGCTGAGAAATCTTGATCTTGACTGAACTATGGTAATAAAAAGACTTAAAAATATAATTTCTAAAACAACATAAAAATTTTGCTTATTACAGCATTGCTATGGGTAAGTAGACATTGCTTGAGCTAATTCAAAGACCCAGTGAGTAAAACATGGCTCTTTTATCATCACTAGAAGAAAGAAGATCAGTTTGAATGTTGACATATTCCAGGCCACTGAATAGGGATTAAAAGATTCAGAGAGGCATTCTTTATTTAAGGAAGAGCATGGGAAATCATCCATGTCAGCTGTGCTTACATGCCCTCCACCTGAACTCAGTAATATGAGCACATGTAGCTAATAGGCCATGTGTTCTCTGACTGGGTGCTCATGGGCCAAGTTAAAGCTGTTAGTAAAAGGAAGGAAAATAAAGTTGCATTAATTTAAAAATGTAGCCAAGAGAGGAAGCTGTGAAAACTTTACAATACACTGGAAGATCCATGGAGAGCATGCTTTTGTAGATGATTTACCCTAAAAGAAAGAAAACCTTATAGAGAACAAGAAAGAAATTAAAATGAAGTAAGATGACAACAATATGACATGAGAGATAAACTGATAAACGTATAAAAAAATCACAGATCACAGATTCAAATGTTAGTACAAAATATTTAATGTTGTTGAAAGGAATAATCCAGCCTCCATGTCTCTTTACTTACCATCTCTCACCTGATCCTTAAGTAAATGTAATGTTAATTAATGTTGTTCAAAGGTGCTGAGAGAGAACTTGTTGACTAGGGATACTGTATTTGTCAGGGTTCTCTATAGGAACAGAATCAATAGGAAGTATGTTTATAAAAGGGAATTTATTAGATTGGCTTACGTGACCAGAAGCTGGAAAGTCCCCAAAGGCTGTCTTCAGGCTGGAGAGGTAGAGGAACCCGTAGTTGCACAGTCCAAGAAGCTGAAGCCTCGGAACAAGAGGGATCAATAGTGCTACCACAGTCCAAGACCAAAGACTTCTGGAAACTCCCTGGAGAATCACTGGCAGAGTCAACTTTGGAGGAGTGAAGAATCCAGAGTCTGATATACTCAGGTGATCACAAAAGCAATCCAGAAACTGTTCAAGCTGGGCACAGTGCCCCACACCTGTAATCCCAGCAGCTTGGGAGGCTGAGGCAGAAGGATAATGAATTCAAAGCCAGCCTCAGCAAAAGTGAGGCTCTAAGCAACTTGGTGAGACCCTGTCTTAAATAAAATTCAAAATAGGGCTGAGTACCCCTGAGTTCAATCCCCAGTAAGCCCCCGACGCCCGCAAAAAAACCTGTTCAAGGAGAATTTAGCTGCATCTGATGCTGCTTCCTTGTTCTTCCAACTTTGATTCCATTCAAGCCACCATCCTATTGGACGGTGCTGCCCATGCTTAGGGAGTGTCTCCACTTCAGTTTGCTATCCCACATGCCAATCATTACTAACACACCCTAACTGACACACCAAGAAGCCCCTTTATCTTCAGCATCTCTTAATCCAATCAAGTAGACAATTCAAATTAACTATTACAAATACAATATTGGGCAAAATAATGAAAAGCAGATCTCAAAAGAAGCATTTGTACATACATACATATGAATATTGATACTGTCATCTGTCATCCACATGCATATATTATATACTTATATATAATATTTTCTACAGTTGCAACCATTTCACAGTAAAAATTATAATTATGTACATTAAAATAGCTTTCTACTTCTTAAATTAAATTTCTGAAAATTAACAACTATTTCCTTTGATTTGCAGAAGTTTTTTAGTTTGATGATGTCCCACCTATTGATTTTTAGTTTTATTTCTTGCAATTTAGGAGTCTTTTAAGGAAGTTGGTTCCTGTGTCAATATGTTAGAATGTTGGACCTTGATTTTCTTCTACTAATTACAGAGTTTCTGATCTAATTCCTAGGTCTTTAATTCACTTTGAGTTGAGTTTTGTGCAGAGTGAGAGATAGGGGCCCAGCTTAATTATTCTGCATGCAGATATCTAATTTTCCCAGCACCATTTGTTAAAAAGACTATCCTTTCTTCAACATATATTTTTAGCACTTTTGTCTAGTACCAGATAGCTGTATTTATGTGGTTTTGTCTCTACATATTCCATTCTATTCCACTGGTCTTCCCGTCTGTTTTGGTGCCAGTACCATGCTGTTTTTACTATAACTCTGTTTTATAATTTGGGGTCTGGTATTCTGATACTTCCTGCTTTACTCTCTGAGCTCATTATTGTTTTGGCTGTTTGGAGTCGCTTATTTTTCCAAATAAGTTTTAGTACTTCTTTTTCTAGTTCTGGGGAAAATGTCATTGGCATTTTGATAGGGATTACATTGAGTCTGTGTATTGGTTTTGATAGTATGGCCATTTTTACAATATCAATTCTACCTATCCAAGAACATGGGAGGACTTTCCATCTAAGTTCATCTTCAATTTCTTTCTACAATGTTCTATAGTTTTCCTTATAGAGGTCTTTCCATTAAATTAATTCCCAGACCTTTTTTTTAGATTATTGTAAATGGGATAGTTTATCTAATTTCTTTTGTCAGCAGTTTCATTATTGGAGTATAGGAAAACAATTGATTCATGTGTATTGATCTTACGTGCTTATATTTTGCTGA